AAGAGCTACTCCTCGAGCTACACCTGCAATAGGGGTAAAATAACCCTGAGTACACAATGTACTCGCTTGACTTACCCGACTAGTGGGAATAGCTTCCCGACTCCAAGGAGTATGATAGGCAATATGGGTTTGCTGTTTTCTTTTGTTTGCGAAAAGCATTACTAATAGTTCATCCTTACAGTAAAGTTTTATTAGCAGTCATGATTACTTCATTAGCCAACCATTCTAGATAAGCAATTGTTCTACTTTTAAGCAAGGGTTAAGCAATCAGAACCATTTCACCATCTTTCATCTTTCAGTTCTTACTACGGTGCTAGACCATAGCCAAGTCATACCATCTCACGGAAACGGCGATTCATGAACCAATGTATCCCAGCTGGGTACCCCAAAACACACGCCCCGTTTATACCCAGGCACAAATAAGACCAACCCATTCCACTCCTGTCATGGGGTCTAGGTTCCCGTCTAAACTTGGACTCTAAGCCCCCACACTTGAGACCTGGTTTCAGTATGGTGCTTAGACCTCCACCTTTCCCCCCTCCAATCAGTCAGTTCGGAAAGAGCTGGAACCCACGACAAGAGCATAATGAGCCTTCCCGCTCCCATAAGTAAGTATGTGCTCAGGATAATAAGTATGTGACCTAACTACCATCCACAACAACGGACTGTCCTTAATCGACATGGACAGGGAAAACAGTGTAACCAAGCTAAGCGCCGTTGGTTGCGGGACACAACCTGTTACACCCACCAATACCCATACCATATCCCTACCCTATCTCCATTTTTCCTTTAATCATTTTATCATGAGAGTAATTATAATAATTATCTATTGTGAGTAACGTCATGTTACTCACACTACCAAAAACCTAAGCATAGCATCTACTCAAACCTACACTAGTAAGACTCTTAGGACAGATATATTTATGCAGGTGGTTTTCATAAAATTCCTGTAACGTAAATGCACATCACACATACATATATATATTCAATGATTATAAAAAATAAGAGTTATGCACCGAGGCTTGCCTTGGGCAGGCGCGGTCTCAGCTGAGTTAGTCAGTGGCAGCTCCGGGACCTCCTCCTACACGAGAATCTCTTCCTTGTACTCCTTGACGATCTCCTCGAACTCGTGATCGCCGGTGGTCACGATCTCCGCCAAATCGTTCTATACATGCATGCGATGATCATGCAACACTTAGCATTTTAGGACTAAAGCTATCACCAATTTACCATAAAAATTACGGTGAGCACATAATAATACAATGAAGCTACTACAAAAATTTTAGGACTAAAGCTATCACCAATTTACCATAAAAATTCCTACAATAATTCTTCTAACAATATTAAACATTTTCAAATAATTTAATAGCTCCTGGTATCAATATGTATATATATGAACTAAATACACTAACAGATAGAGCACAATTTTAGGAACCTAACAAAATTTGTTTCACAATTTTTGAACACCTACATGATTTTATATGATTTACCAAAGACCAGCTCAAAAATTAAATTAGAAAACTATTTCTAATTCCTTATGAAAAAGAAAAACGAAATCTCCCACGCGGCCCACACAACACCGGCCCACGCACGCGAGGCGGCCCACGGCGAGGAAGCCCACGCGCGCTGGCACTGTTGCAGAAACGCCCCCGCGCTATCCTCTACTGACACGACGACTATGCACACTATTTCTATAGATAGCGTTTTTTGCAAGAAGACCCTCGTACTAACTTGTCTTCGCATCGGAGAGGTCCCCGACGCCTCCGTGCTCGTCGGCGCGACATTGACCAACACTGGGCCGCTACGCCGGCCAACTAGGGACCCCCATGACCCATCTAGAGGACCGATGCTCACCTATAGGACAACGCGCAACAATGGGCAGCGATTCAGAGACCGGAGAGGAAGCAGGGCGACCTCTCCACGTGGGCGGACAACCTACGGTGGTGACAACGACGTTTCGGTGAGCCACAACGCTAAGGGAGTAGTAGAGGTAGCGTGTGAGCATCAAAGACTCGCCAAGGACCTGGCCGAGGCAATGGTTCGGCCGGAGATGCCCCGAGCAAGGCTAACCGCATACGCACGGCGAGCTTGGCGACGAGCCACGACGGACACGACCCCATCTGCAATGTTGGGACAGTGGTAGGGGTACGGTTTAGGTGCGCATGGCGAGGAGGGGTTCAAGACGAGTCTAGGGTTGTAGCCAATTTGGCCTGAGGTGGTCAAATGAGAGCTGCCCTCGGTGATGGGTGGACTCGACCTTATCGGCACGGTGGCGGGGAAAAGCTCCAAAATTAGAGCTCGACCGGGCGCCATTCAAGGCGGGGTGGGGACGGGTAGCTAGGCAGCTGTGCGACAAAGCCAACAACACAACGAATTGACTTGAGGTGATCTCTCGCTAACAAATTTAATGGTGCGCTCGACGGTGGCAGCAGAGGGAGAAAGGGAGAAAGAGAGAGACGGGGCTCGATAGGTGGCTCGGCTCATCCCCGCCTTGGCGGGATGCAAGCAGCGCGATCAGGACATCCACGCGTGGTGCTACAGACAAGGCATGTGTGCGTCCGACCGGCGTGGCCCGCGTGGCCGCAGTGTCTTAAATGATATGGCGACGGCGGCTCGACCACGTGCACATGGCAATGGCGGCCTTGAAATGGGCTGGCAGCGGCGCAGGGGGTACAATGGATAGGCACGGATGCGACGACGATGCGATGGCAGTGGTAGCGTCACGGGCACTACAAACTTCTAACCCTTGCGCAACGACGAGAAAACGTTGCAATAGGTTCAATTTTGTTGCAAAAGATAGTTCATACCACGAAATCGCGTTCATTGGCAATGGTTGCAAAAAGTCACGTTGCAATAGGAACTTGCAGCCATTGCTAGTTTGGCGTTGCAAGAGTTAGCTTTTCTTGCAACGTTGCCAAGCATTGCAATAGGACGTTATCGCAACATTCATTGGCGTGGCAATACGAGCACTTGCCACGTTCGTCTTCGTAGCGAGAGGTGGTAAATACGACGAGCGATAGCGTGGCAATAGATTTTTGTTGCCACGCTATAATTTTGTTGTTTAAGGTGTTGTTGTCACGACCGTTGTGCCATGGCAAGTAAATCATTTGCCACGCAAATGTAATCGTTGCGAGAGAGTATACATTATTGCCACGCTTGTCTTGGCGTGGCGATAGTATCATTTGCCACGCAAATTTATCCGTTGCGAGATACCGTTCATTATTGCCATGGCCACGTTGCCGTTGCAATAGTATCATTTGCCACACAATTTTATTCGTTGCAAAATACCGTTCATTATTGCCATGACCTCGGTGCCGTTGCAACAGTAGAATTTGCCACGCAATTTTATTCGTTGCGGAAGATTAATTGTTATTGCAACAATAGTCATGTCGTGGCAATAGAATTATTTGCAACGTAAATAAGTCTGTTGCCATACAACATATTGCCACGCATCACGGCTCGTAGGTATAGGTTTTATTGCAACGCTAGTAACATTTAATTTTGGTTTAATAAATCATCATTGCAAATCAATAAACCATATCAAAAGCAATTGCACCCACATATATTAATTATAATTAATCATTCAATATGTTGCCAAACCCATGAAATAGTAGCTAAAATCATAAACGAGTGTACAATTAACTCATTATTTGACAACTTTTTACAAACTTCCTAACATCTATGCAGCACTTGAGAAATTCCTAGCAGCCCAACATGTCATCTCCTCGGCTATGTCCTCGCTTGATTATGAGCCTCCCACTGAAACCTTGTCCACCTACTGCCAAAAGAATATGATTGGGATATTAGAACAATATTAAGTTTACTAATTTTTGCACAAATGTAAAGAGATGAAGATATAAAATGGTTCTAATTTCTAATTTCATATACAAAAGCCATCAACCAAGCTTTTGAATAGTTGAAGTTCTACTGCAATTCTGCAAATGAGCAAATGTTGTCGGTCTAGTTGCTGCAATTCCTTTTTCCATGAAAAAGATGGAAGTCATGTTCCATTGTTCCAGAACCACAAACATATGAATCTATTTCTAGTTTTACTCAAATTCTTACTGTATGCTTATTACAATTATATTTTTCTATGAAAATAGCATTCTGTGTTTTCACAATAACTTGATATTTTGTTCTCTACTTTCTCAATCTTTATTTTGGTCTCTGTATATCCCTCTCTTTTTAGAGTTTAAATGTTGTTCAATATGTCAGCAATCCTTACTCCTTGGAAGCGTAGATGGCTGGGAATTTTAGCAAAATTTCATTGTAAGCATAGGTTGATTATATAAGTTCAATTGACTTTACAAATGATAATCTATATTTTTTTTGCAGGCTACATACTGAAGGCATGGTTCTATTGGGTAATACAAGTTTTTGTAGCAGTCTAGCAGACACATGCAACTGTTTTCCATTTGATTGCATTATAAGATGTATGCATTCTCTTTTGCTCTTTATAAATTCTGCTAAAAGAAGCAGAGTCTATCAGCAAGCCTTGGGGAGGGATGGAGAAGAAAATACGGCTTTGATCCTATCCATCGTGGCCTTTCAACGGATCAGATGCAGCTACTGCATATGTTACAGTAGCAGCTGCATTCTCTGAATTTTTAAGGCAGCAGCAGTTTAGTTGATTAGAAAAATCATAACTTGAGTTGTAGACAACGAAAAATTATATTCTTTAACAATACGGAAAGCCTATGAAATTCTCTACATATTTCTAGTTATTTGTTAAATAAGATTCTATAGTTATCATGGTCAAAAAACACAAACACCCACTGCTGTCCAGACCAAGGTCAAAACCTGACTGGCTACTTTCAAAATTCATAACTCTAATTCTCTAGGTCTAAAATCATGACCTTTCACGACGACAAACATCTCTAAACCCTCTACAACTTTTGTATTATCAAGTATCACAGAAAAGGTAGATTACTACTCAGAACAACTCACCCAATCAAACCTGCACAAGCTGCACTTTTCAGCACGCATGTTCAATGTATTTTCTACATTTCCTAGTTCAACAAGGAAGGTCACATTTGATAAAATTTCATTAAATCATGCAAGAATTTAGATTCCAATTAGCTGGTTGTTACCTTCCTCCTTTTGGGATTATTTCTTGTCCTATTCATCAGCTGCTGTGAAGTGATATATCTCTTCGATGCAGTCACATTTGTAGTGTTTTCGTTGAAAAGAGTTCTGCTGGAAGGTGCAGTACTTCTAGTGGAGCGAGTAGGTGCTGGTAAACCTTTTTGTACGGTGACAACGCTTCCAGGCTGAGTCTACAAACATCAAGTTGTTTGATCTATTTTAGCTACAGTTCAAGGTAAATGGAACATAGTGAAATAATATCATTACCTCTTGTAACCCATCTTCATTTTCATTTTCATGTCCACCGGTCTCATCTTCCTCTTCTATAATTGGTGCAACTTGTGTACTGGCATTGTTTTGCAGGGTACTCTATACATACAAATATTGGGGGTGAAAGATTAGGCATCACAATCATAAGATTATCAAGAGTACAAAGGATAAAAAATTATTCTAATACCATAATCATAGCTCCTTCTTTGTGGTGCGCTAGCATATTAAGAAATTCTTGCTTCATTTCTTCTCTTAAGTTTATCTTAGCATTTTCCAGCTCCTCTTGCATCCTCCTATTTTCTTCTTTCTCCCTTTCCCTTTCTGCAACTTCTTGCGCAATCTGTTCTTTGAGCTTGTCAACCTCCGCTGCTAAAGCAATGCTATTCTCCCTAGCTATAGCTTGAGCATGTGCATGTACTTCAAGGTTCTCTTTCATAAGTTCTCTGCAAGTTAGATACGTAGCCAAATATCCATGCCCATGTAATTTGGATGATTTGATTTGTTTGTTTCTTTGTAGCATGTCTGGAAAATCATGTTCTCCTCAACAGTTGTAAGTGCTAGTTTATCAGGTTCTAATCCAATCTCACCAATTTTCATGGTTGCATTTTCCTAAATTAAATAACAGAACCTGTAAAGAGTTGCTTGACACTACCAGCAGCTATAAAAAAGGTTGACGAAACATTTACTTACATATACTGAAGCTGATATAGGATTTGACCATGCGCCATGTTTTGTCTGAGTGGTCCTCCAAAGAAGAAGATCACTTGGCTCTTCACCAGTTTCTTGGTCTCTCTAGGATGCCAAAAAATTCAGCACACAAGTATTGCATCATACAAGGGAAGGACTAGATTAGTGTATCTAATGATTACCAGCTCAAAGCTACATTGTGAGAAGTTCTTTGAACCCATCACATGCTTGGTTCTTTTTTCACGACGGTTGGAGGAGTTCGGCTGCTAAGTTTCTGCAGAATGAGAACAAGTGGTATGTAGCAATGCAACTTTGGTCCATCAATTTTGTTTGACAAAGTAGATTTTACTAGCACTAACCTTGAATTTATCAGATCCAAAATACAACTGCAAGTAGTGCCACTCAAAAAGGTGTATTTCTTTGGGTTTATTTCGTATCCTCTCACCATAACTATTATAAGCCTTGTATGTGGCACTCAGATCAGATCGCCATCCTCTGTACCGCTCCTTGGCAATTTTCCATATTTTCTCTTTTCTTTTATCCACATCATCAATGTTGATGAAGTTCCACCTAAGCTGTTTACAATTAAAAAGCAATGAAATGTTTTATCAGAACTAGTATAATGCCCGTGCTAATGCTAAGGTGGCATGTAGAAAAAATAAATCATAAAAATTAAAAAAAATCATGCTAGTGCAACAAGACTAATCATCCAAAGGCAACAAAGACTAATCCTAGTTGGAGAGCCTGAAATAAACTTATTTAATGAAACATACTACGTGACAAAGCTAAATCATCCACTTCGCTTCACACATCTAATTTGTCAATGATCAAACACTATCCTAAAGTCATAGAAATAACTCTGCTTTGAGAGGTTAACTGAACATGCCTTTTTTCTGTATACAATGGGAAGGGTTTACGTAATATGCTTTCAAATTTGAAATCTAAACTAAAAGGCACAATGGCTGGGCATGAAGCAACATGAGGAAAGAAACAATCAAGAAAAGAAATCTAATAGCATCTGAGGGAGAAATTCATTAGGTTAGTACAATGACATTAGCATAAATCAACATGTCAACATCACAATTTCTACATCTGTACACTCACTTTTTTGGACAGTAAAAGAGCAACAACAATGTTCCTTAACAAAAAATAGTACACATCATACCAGTATCTCTTCTGCAATTTCTAGTTTGACTTCTTCCTTTATACCCTTCCAAATGTTTACTCCAATTAGTGGGGCCCATTGCCTTGTAAATATAACGACCTCATCGACAAATGCACGGGTATCCCAGACATTTATGTTCAAAACACAGTGAGTTAAAGAACCTACTTAGCTCCATCAATGGGGTCACCACATCTTCAGGCAATATGTTGCGCACCACTAAAGGCAAAAGTTTTTGCAAGATTACGTGTAGGTCATGAGTTTTAAGTCCAGAAAGCTTGCAACCATTGACGTCCACACATCTCCGAATATTTGCGGCATAACCATCAGGGAACTTGACACCATGTAAAAATTTGCACATAATTTCCTTGTCATCCTTACCTAGAGAGTACAGCGCTGGTGGCAAGGTGTACTTACCCTTTTTGAGCACTAGATGTTGATCTGGCCTTATACCCAAATGTTGCATATCAAGTCGAGCCTTCTCACTGTCCTTGCATTTACCTTGTAACTCCAACAAAGTCCCCAGTAAGCTCTCACATATGTTCTTCTCTATATGCATGACATCCAAATTATGTCGTACTAGCAATGATTTCCAGTAAGGAAGCTAAAAGAAAATACTCTTCTTCCTCTAGTTGTGCCACCTATTTTCTTCGTCACGTTGCTTCCTTTTCCTTGTATCCTTTCCAAAAGTCACTTGCTGGAAACTTTCATAGTCCCACAGCACCTGCTCACCATTGAGCAGCACTAGAGCTTCCCTAGTTTCAGCCTTGTTATTGAAGCTCATCTTGTTCCTTCGCCACTTATGGTTCATGGGCAGAAATCGGTAATGCCCCAAGTAGCAATGCTTTGAGCCATGTTTTAACCACAAGTAACCAGTATGCTTGTGACAATAAGGACAAGCAAACTTACCTTTTGTGCTCCAACCAGATAAGATCGCATATGCGGGAAAATCATTAATTGTCCACAGAAGAATTGCATGTAGAGTAAAATTCTTCTTCTCCTTCTCATCCCATGTTAAAACTCCATTAACCCATAGATCATGTAGCTCATCGATCAAAGGTTCCAAATATACATCAATGTTCACTCCAGGAGATTTAGGCCCAGGTATCAACATCGACATCATCCAATAAGGTTGTTTCAAACATAGCCAAGGAGGCAGGTTATAAGGAATCAGTATCACGAGCCAACAAGTGTAATTAACATTCAACACCCCAAATGGATTGAAGCCATCAGATGCAAGTCCTAGTCTAACATTACGTGGATCAGAATCAAACCACTTATACCTGTCATTCACGTGCTTCCACGCCAATGAGTCTGCTGGATGCCGCATTTTCCCATCACTAACCAATTCTTCCTTGTGCCACCGCATCAATGATGATGTTTCCTTTGACATATATAATCTTTGCAATCGAGGAGTAAGTGGAAAATACCTTAGAACTTTGCAAAGAGTGCGCTTCTTTGCTCCACCACTTTCGCTAGACTCGCCAATCTCATCAGAATTTGTGTCGTCTTTCTTCCACCTACTCTCACCACATGTTGGACACGTGTCCATATCAGCCAGTGGCCCACGAAATAACATGCAGTCATTCACACAAGCATCGATCTTAATGTATGTGAGGCCAAGGTCGCGGATAATCTTCTGTGCTTTCTTGATAGTGTCTGGGATACAATGTCCTAGGGGGAGCGTATCTCTCCATAGGCTAAGTGTTTGCTCTGCGTTCTCCTTACTCCATCCACCCATGCACTTAAGTTGAAAGAGCTTGACCAAGAATGATACCTTGGTAAGCTATGAGCCTGGCCACAACTCTTGTTGCGCATCTTTCAACAAATCAAAGAATTTCTTTGCACTCTCACAAGGCTCTTCATTGGTATTGCCACTGGTCGTACCCCTAATTAATGTGGACAATAGATTGTTGGCGGATGATGCATCATCTGGTGGGCCTACATTCAGATCCCTATCATCATTCAAAAATATGCCAGCGTTACCTTTCTCTTTGACAAAGTTCTCATCAAACCCTTTAGTTGGCAAGTCCATTTGAACCTCAGATTTTCTTTTGTACACGACTCCACAACACCTTGAACATGGACATGGTGCAGTTTCTGATGCATAGGTGCCTTCGAAAATAGTATCAATAAATTTGTCCAGACCTGCTTGCCACTCAACTGATGACCGAGGCAACAGCATCCAACTCTGATCATCATCATGTGCCATTAATTATATCTTCGAAATATCACAATGATTTCCTATAGCACGTTAAATTGAAGGGATCATGACATTATTATAAACTTTATTTATCAGAGATAAAGAAAATTAAAAATCTGTCAATTTTCTGAGCCAAGCTTAAAAAAGGGCCCTTTACTTTAACTATAATTTAATAAACTTTAATGCATCCAAAGGGCATTTTTATCAAACTTTATATACTAGTATATCTAGAGCAATATTTAGAAGCTTAGCACTGTCCATTGTGACAACAGCTACCCAACGTGTTTTGCTGTTTTCTCCATCCATGCTCAAAACAGTAGTTAATGGAAATAAATGATTATCTCCTTAAAATAAATGTGATGAACCGAAACTCAGATTGGAGTATTACACATTAAGTCACAATAACTAATCAACACTGCTAGACCAAGCCAAAAATGAAACAGCTAGACCTCAGCATAAATAGAGTACCATTGGCTAAGAATGGAATGTTTTTGCACTGAACCAGACAAATTAAAAAAAATGTGTGGATTAGCCAATGCATCTGAATAAGAATCTTGCAAAAATTTGTCTAGATTATCAACAACAGTGAGTAATTTGATCTAGTCAAGTACCAAACTTAACAATAATATGTAGAGAAAAAACTGAGCAATAATGCAAGCATACGTGATTCTCTTTTTCACGTCGATGATCGATGGCCGGCCGCTGATCGTCTCTCTCATGGATGATGAAGGGTGCGAGGTGAAACTGGTTCAACGCTCCGTCCCCTCTCGCACGCCGAGGAAGGACTGGACGGTGCTCGCTCTCCTTATCTCGTCGATGATCAGGAAGGAACTAGGGCACCAATATGCCGTAGTCGCTGCAGGGAATTCAAGGGCCGTGACGACTACGGCCGTAGGGAAGGGGTGCCGCAACGACAAAGGCTTTAGGGAGGCCTTGACCACGCTAGCTGCTGGTGCTGGCTGTAGGGATCAGGGGGGCTCCACCACGTTCTTCGCAAGGAGGCAACGCGTGGGGGAAGAAGAGAGGCCGTGGGAGTGAAGGAGCCGTGACAGGAGCTACTGGCCGCGACCTCTACGTGATATGTAAAATTAGATTAGATCCTTTTTCCAATATAACTGGTCAACATTAATTAATATAGGGTACTTTCGCTATTACTAACACAAACATAGACCTAGCCTAGTGGTAGGAGCTTACTTTCAAGACCAAGAGGTCTCAGGTTCAAAACCCATATTGTTGTCATTTTTTTAAAAAAATTTTATGCAACCATTAAAATGGAAAGGCTTTGGTATTGCAACAATGTAATTTTTCGTTGCTATATTATAACCTTTTTGCAATGAACGAAACTGCTACATACAACAAAACCATAATTGTTGCAACCTTAGTGATTGCAACAAACCATTTTTTTCGTTGCTATATGTACCAATTTTTTGCAACGCAAGCGACTATTATATACAACGGAACATATTCGTGGCAATATAGATGGGCTATTGCAACCATAAAATAAAGAGTTGCAATATCACCTTAGTATTGCAACGAAAATAAACTTGCCCGCAACGCAAATCAAATCGTGGCAACATTAATCACTTATTGCAACCGTTCAATAATTTGTTGCGATAACACTTACTTTTTGCAACGATCTCCACACTTATGGCCACAAAACAATCTTCATGGCAAAAAACCAATCTATCGCAACCAAAAGTGAAAATCGTTGTGATAACAACGCTTGTTGCAACGAAACCATGCCGTTGCGACAAAAAGCGTGGTATAAGGGTCAGAAGTTAGTAGTGGAGGCGAGGCGTGTCGATGGTGCGGCGAGGCAGCAGTGGGCGGACGCGATGGCAGTGTAGCACGAGGCTGGGCAGCAGGGCGCGGGGCCAACAGCTCGCTGTGGCCGGCCTCAGCCAAACCCAGGCGGCCCGATCGACCCAGCGTGGTGGCACAGGGTGACTGCGTAGGATGCGGCCATGTGCGCGGTGCGGGGTGGCCACGCGGTGACCGCGCGCACGGCGCCAACCAACCCAAGATTGTGACGCGCACGAATTTTAAAGCGCCCAAAACGATTAAACGGTTACTCCAGGAGCCAAACCATCTTCACCACGCTCAAGAGGGAATATGAGACTACCAAATCGAGCTATAACACTATACCACCCCTTAACCCAATCTCTCAAAATAATTTGCTAAACATAGCAATGTCTAGCTATTAACAAACTTGGAAATTTTCAAAGTTTTAAGCTGAACTTGATTTCAATTTGTAATTTCTAGGCTAGTAGAAATATTAGCTAGTAATATCATTTTTCGACAGCAAGTATTTCATTTTCATCTATAAAGTTTGTACTTCAAACTTTATTTAAGTATCACACATGTTCTATAGTATTTTTGCTTAATAAAAATTGGTTTTCAACCCTACTTTATATACATGAGCTATTGAATCAACTTTCATTTAGCATTTTTATTGATTATTTTAAGTTACAAGAAATTTATCTACACATTCTATCACATGCATTAACACATAAACATGATGCTCATGACATGTTTTTGTAAATGATTTAGGGTGTAACACCGAGGGTGTTACAACTCTCCCCCCTTAAACAAAATCTCGTCCCGAGATTTTGTGTGAGTGCCTAGTATAGGAAAAGGGGTAAGAGTGAGCTTTTAACATAACTATTACCTTGGCACACCGGGGATAAGATGGGGATAATGCTTTAGAATATAACTCTCCTGCTCACAAGTTGCTTCGTCCGTTGAATGATTTTGCCACTGGACTTTATAAAATTTCACCACTTTGTTCCTAGTGACTCTCTTTGTTTCATCCAAGATTTTGACAGGATGCTTAATATAAGAAAGATCAGGTTGGAGAGGGAGTCCTTCAATTTCCACCACTTCCTCTAGAACCCATAAACACTTCTTTAATTGGGAAACATGAATGACATTATGTACTGCTGACAAAATATCTGAAAGTTTGAGACGATAAGCAACCACACCACATCGCTCCAAAATCTTATAAGGTCCGACAGAACGAGGAGCTAACTTCCCATGGACTCCGAACCGATGCACACCTCTTATTGAGGATACCTTTAGGTACACATTGTCACCAACTTCAAACTGCAAGGGTCTTCTTCGCTTGTCCGCATAAGTTTTCTAACGATTCTGAGCCGCCTTTAAATGTCTCTGAATAACACTAACTTGCTCTAGAGCTTCCTTGATAAAATTAGGTCCAAAATAACCATGATCACCCACTTCAACCCAGTTAAGAGGTGTTCTACATTTCTTGCCATACAGGGCCTCAAAAGGTGCCATACAAATGCTTTCTTGATAGCTATTGTTATAACAAAACTTGGCTAGAGTCAAGCATTCATCCCACTTTTCTGGAAAAGAGATGACACAAGCCCTCAACACATCCTCAAGTACCTGATTGACTCTTTCTGTCTAACCTTCAGTTTGCGGATGATAAGCTGAACTTCTGAGGAGACAAGTACCAAGACATTTCTAGAGTTGCTCCTAGAAATGAGAGACAAAGAACGATCCTCTATTGGAAACAATGGTAAGAGGAACTCCATGTAGGGTCACAACCCGATCAAAATACAACTTGGCTAAATACCTTGTATCCACCGGAAGGAAATGAGTGGACTTGGTAAGGCGATCCAAAATGACCCAAATAGAGTCATACCCCTTTGCCATGCAGGGCAAACCCACAACAAAGTCCATGGAAATATCCTCCCATTTCCAAACAGGGATAGGCAAGGGCTATAGAAATCCAAGCGTACACATATGGTCCGCCTTAACCCTTCCACAAATGTCACATTCTAAGATGTATTTGGTAATATCCTGTTTCATATTTGGCCACCAATACAAGTGACGCAAATCATGATACATCTTGTTACTTTCCGGATGAATGGATAACTTAGAATTGTGAGCTTCATCCAAAATTTTTCTTGTAAGCTCATCACTTGAGGGAACCACCAACCGGTTCTTGAACTTCACCACACCTTGAACATCAACACTGAAATGAGGACCACGCCCTTCGGCAATTAACTTCTTGATATGTGGAATTTCCGAAGCATCTTGCCTTTGCTCTATAATAATTTGCTCAAGTAGATCCGAGACTAGAGCAATATGGGCTAACACCTCAGAATGGTTGAGAGACAAAGATTCTTCTTCAACTTGGTGTGACTTCTGACTTAAGGCATCAGCTACTACATTAGCTTTTCTAGGGTGATAATGAACTTCTAAGTTATAATCTTTGATTAACTCAAGCCACCTCCGTTGCCTCATATTCAACTCGGATTGAGTGAAAATATATTTGAGGCTCTTGTAATCCGTAAAAATGTGTATTTTATTTCCCAACAGGTAATGTCTCTAAATTTTTAGAGCGTGCACAACTGCAGCCCGCTCTAAATCATGGGTGGGATAATTCAACTCGTTCTTTTTCAGCTGACGTGAAGCATAAGCGATCACACGTCTGCCTTGCATAAGCACACATATCAGTCCAGTCCTAGAGGCATCACAATACACATCAAACGGCCTATCAATATCTGGTT